TTTTCAGTCACAAAACTGTTCTTCACACACACACACAAAAAATCATAACCTTTAACAGCTGTATGTTTGGAGGAAGAAGCTAATGGTTCTTCAAGGCCAGCATATCCTGATAGTTTAAGTTGATTTCTCCTGAAGACACCTAAAGTGAAATGAAGCCCAGAAAACTTTTGCCATGAATACAGCGAATTAATTGTAAGAACTCCATCTTACTTGCACTAAAGCTAAAAAAGAGGTTTTCTGCACACTTCAAGATGAATTCTGTACTTCATTGTATGGAAGTGTAAATTCAGACAAACATCTGGAGAATGTCAAGTATAAGAAAAGGAGGAGAAATAAGACAAAATAATTACTTAATCTATTATGTCTAATGACAGGTGGTTCTTGATATTTTTTTCATAATTTCAATAGCTTGGCATTCTGTTCTTAAAGAAGTGTCAACAACATTTTAGGCTTTCTTCTGCAGTAAAGCTTATTCCTTTCACAAAGCCCAGGGACTTGATTTTAAAGTGAGCCTACCTAGGATAGGAACACCAGGGACAATCAGATGACCTTGTGACACAGGTTTCCTTTTCTTCTGTCTGACAACAGTAACAAAAGAAAAGCAGAGTTTCATCACTATATAGAGAGCTGTAACATCACAGACCAGGGACTTAATCATCTCATCTCAACTGGTAAAGATTTTCAGCATAAGGAGCTCTGGGATTGTGGTTCATTCCAATTCACATCGACAGCGATACAGGTGCAAGATGACATGAAAATACTAATAGCTTTTCAAGCAATGTATCTATCTAAGGTAGTTTTCCAAGACCATGGTTATATAATAGCGTTATGAGCACTTACTTTGTGCATGCCTTTAATTTTACAGCAACATTCCTCATAGGAATGCAAAGGGGATGTCATTTTTATGTCCCATTTTTATTGTCACCTTCAGGAATACAGCAAGAGGTAATCAGAGATATCTGAATTCCATTTGTTAATGTTCTATGAACCTAAGGGAGCTGGGCCATTTATCATCTAGAGGAAAGGTTAAAAAGAAAGGAAAAAAAGTTGTCAGATACTAGAAATCCAAAGCACAATTATTATCTGAGCCATATAATTTAGAATATTACAGGCAGAACTAGATAGGAATTGTCTAATGTAACTTCTTTCCTGATGATTCATCTGACTTTCTGCAAAAAAAAAGTGTTAGTTGTGATGAATTTTTCATTGGAAAATGCATCTCAAGTCAAAAGGGAAATTTCTAGTTCAAATACTGGTGAGAATGGAAACAAAGCTTCCCACTTCCCAAAATAATCATAAGTGCTTCATCATCCACATCCATTTTTGCTGACAAGGAGATAAAAAATGTCCCATGTTGATATTTTGACAAAATTAATTCCTAATTGCAGGTCAAGCAGCAATATTTGTTCATAGGTTTAAATAGCTGAGGAAATGTGATTCTCCAAACTAAAGAGCTTCTTAGTTTCCATACCAGAGCCTGTGTGCCTTATTTAAAATACATCCAGAAAAAGAAAAAGAATGTTTAACATTTCTTAATCTAATGAGACTGCTTTAACATACCTATAAATTGAAATCTGCAGTCCTAAGAGGACAGAGCTTCCTTTGTTCCAGTTCTTCTGTTATTACAAAATGCAGGCTGAAGGAAACAGGAGAGCATAGTTATATCTTTTAGTTAGTGATCTTGTAAATCTCAGCGGGGAATGACCTAAACCAAGAATGCAAATAGCCTGTTTTTATTAAAAACTTTAGTAAGCAATAAGCATGTATTCCACATAGCTGCAGTACATCTGAAGAATGAATCTGTAACTCTGTGTGTTCCAGAAAAGCTGTTTGAATTTATGTCTGAAATGCTAAAATAATTTAAACTCTCACTCTGTTGTGAATAACTGCTGCAGTAAATCCTGCCTAAATGTGTAGTTTGACAATCCCAATTGGCAGAGAAAAAAAGGTCCAAACTTTGCACAGCTCTGCACAAGTGAGGCCACAGAGAGCTAAGAACAGCAAAGTCTATCTCATCTCCTTTTCTTCTAATTCTTCTGGCACACTGGGGAAGCTGACAGTGTCTGACCCTCATTTGCAGGAGCTGGACCATGAGGAAGTATGGATTATATCAGAACATTTTACAAAATCATCACTTGTCCTGAATGCATGAAAATGGGGTGATTTTGCTGCCCTTTTTTTTAACACATCTATTTCTTTCTGCTTTCTACCTCTTTAGTAAAGAGCTTTGCTTAATCTTTTCCAAGTAGAGCGATGCACAAAGCCTTTTGCAGAGAGGATGTGCGGGCAGGACGCGTGCCTCAGTCAAACCAGCCCTCTCGACGCTTTTCCAGATCGCTCCTTCTAGTGGCCGTGAAAATTTGCCTTCTTGTATCTTTCTAGCTTGCCTCATGCCAGCTTGGGGAACTTTGGTGTTATTTTTGTTACTTTATTTCTCCAGACTAAATAAAGGCTTGTAAAATGAAGAACGATAGAAGAAAAAAAGATTTCTTGGTTTAACAGCTTTTAAACTTCTTCCCTGTTGCTAATCTATATGGGATATATTTGCTGTTGTTTTGGTATTTGGCTATCCTCGTTATTGTTGTTCTCTTGCCTGTCACATTCAATCTGCGCGACACCAGCATGTCACCAGCAGAACAGATGTTGCTTCACTGTGCTCTGGGTTTTTTGCATTGTAATTAGTGAACTGGTATTTCTCGCCATGCTGCAATTTACTTGCAGCAGTACAGGCACTCTGACGGGGACAGGATGATATAACCTAGAGTGACAGCCAACAGAGTGGCAATAATCTACTAAAATATTTGAAGCTCAAAACAAAGTCCATCTTGCTCAGTTCTGCAGCCTGAAGGATCGAAAGATGACAAGCATTTTTCTATCAAAAAAATGTAAGTTTGTTAAGGAGCAAAGCGGTGCTGTGGTATTTGGGCTTGTTATTAACGGCTGGATCAATTGCTAACAGTACTCATGCTGTACAGATATTTAGGTGTTTAATTAGCTCAAATTTGTTCTAACACTGTTTCAATAATTGTTTTAAAACTTTTTAAAAAATTAAACCTTGAAACACTGGATCTAGATTTTGTAATTTTATTTCAATTGGAGTATAGAATGGAGTTTCTTTTATAGTGCCTGACATTGTGCTACTTTCTAAGAGCGTCACCGCTGGTAGTAAGACACTCAGAATGTTATTTGTAATTAAAATCTCTATTTTCAGATACATTTTCTGGTTTATTCATGCAGAGGAGCCATTTTACCTTTTGAACTTTCTGCTGGACTGAATAAAGCAAGTGAAGAAATACTTTAATAGGCCTTACACCTGAGTGATTTGTGACTGTGACTGAAATTGCTGTATTCCCCTGCATTATTCCTGCTAATGTTTTTATAATATACTTGGCCAAACCATTCCATTTTTGACATTTGCTTCTTTTCGTTTAGAATTAGGCTGAAGTAAAGAAATAAACAAAGAAGAAAATCAAAGCTTCCTACAGCATTTTAATCAGACAAAGAGCATCACAACTGCAATACTTCATGTAGTTCTAGGTTGCAAAATGGTAGGATTTTTATTTAACAAATTAAATTTGTTCATCTGTTTAATTTCTTTTTACAGCAAAGAACAACTTAACTGAAAGTTTAAACTTAAGCCTATGCTTAAAAGGCTTGCTGAGCTGGGGAAAAACTGCCAAAGTTTTCTCCTTGGGTTAACAGGAAGGAAATTCATTGATGACCTACTGCTAGTGCAAAGAGCTTAGAGCCCTTTCAAAGATGCTCCTTAGTTTCAGTGGGAGTTGAAAGCATCTAACGGTCTTCTGGACTGAAACCTGACTGTTTAAATTAACTTCCCCTGCAAAGAATTAGTTTTCCTTTGTATTTTTTAAAGCCTGGAGAACTTGTCAAACACCACCTAGAAGCCAGCATGAGTTAGTGAAAACAGTATCTCTGGGACTGGAATAACAAAGTAGATTTGTGACGATGTTGCAAATGACATTCTTGATTTATTATTATCACAGAGGTTTCAATTGAGTTTAGCATGACATTGACAGACACAAGGACCTGGAAGGGTCCAACAAAGGACCTGGAAAAGTTTGCAAAAGGTTGGTCAGCAATGTCACTAAGAGGATACATAAGGAAGGAGAGCACTCCTGGTGAAATCCAGCGATGGTTCTGGTGCTGAGGGGCACCAGGGCAGCCACACACGAGGATCATTACAAAGCAACTATTTTTACATGCAGAAATAGCAACGACAAAGCAGTCACTTTTCGTGGTGCAGAGTAGAGCAAAGGGACTCAAAGGTAAGCGCTGTGCTCGGTAAGTGCTGCTGCAGCAGCCACCGACTCCGTCATGTGCAAGGGCAGTGCTAAAAAGCAGTGCAGGGTGAATTTGCTAATTCATGGCAATCTGCAAATCAAACTCATTCACAAATGTATATGACAGTAAGTAACTGTTTCAGAAAGAGGCAGCACATTACTACTGGATGTGTTCTCCCTCCACCTCCTAGGTTTGGGCGACCTTTAAGAGGAACCTGAACAGCAAGGCTCATGAAGCCGCTACCTGCATTATGGCTGTCTCAGTATGTACATAAACGTGGATAACGAGAGACACGGTCTGATTAGCCAAATAAATCTTTTATCCAACTGCCTACTTTTCATAAAAATTAAGTGAAAAATTAAACTGACAGAATTCAGCCTATTCATGTGTATACCCACATATTACTACTTTTAGAAATCTTATTTTTATTTTCAAATAATTTCGCCGTTTATGCACGATGCTGCGTTTAGTCATGCCATCCATGACAAAGCACGGCTGGGCCATGGGAGCGACGCGGTGCTGCGGGCACCGCGGGCCTCACCGGGCCTGCTGGGCTGCCGCCCGCGCGGCTAACGCCTTGTACAAGGG